ACACAACATAGACACACTCTGTGTCATAGACACTGTGTCAGACACACAAGCAGAGAGAGAGAGACAACACAGAGACACAGAGAGAGACACACAACATAGACACACTCTGTGTCATAGACACTCTATGTCAGACACACAAGCAGAGAGAGACAACACAGAGACACACAGAGATGGACACAACATAGACACACTCTGTCATATATACTGTGTCATAGACACACAAGCAGAGAGAGACAACACAGAGACACAGAGAGAGAGACACACAACATAGACACACTCTGTGTCATAGACACTCTGTGTCAGACACACAAGCAGAGAGAGACACACAACACACTCTGTGTGTCTCTGTGTTGTCTCTCTCTGCTTGTGTGTCTGTCTGTGTGTCTCCGTGTCTGCGTTGTTTCTCTCTCAAATGTAGTTCTACCTGATGACGACTGCTTGTGTTGCAATCGAAACGTCGTACTCTATTATTTAATTTATTTTCTTTCTGCGTGACTTGAGCGAAAGAACCAAAGTTTATCTCCACAGGCTGTTCAATAACGGCGCTTTCCCGCACCTCCGATTAGCATGGTTAGCTATGTACGGTGCGAAAGAAATTCAACGTACATACACACATGCTTCATCAGTCTGTGTGGGCTATACAGGGGATCTTTGTTTTTGTGCACGTGTGTGTGTGTGTGCGCTGCATTCTTAACACTATAAACGCCAAAACATTTCGACAATAACAGCCATCCATTTCCCTGGCACAGCCTGGCCTGTTATATATTTTAATATTATTGGAAATGGTCGCTACGACTTAAAAAAAAATGCAACGGTCCTTCCAAAGGGAACTACCACAGTCAAATTGCTTCTGAATCTGCACGGCCTGTTATACAGTGAGGTGGTCCTGTTTGTTTCACGGGACATTCTCTTATGTGTAAGTATTTAGCGCCAACAAATGGGATTCAATAAAGGGCATGCAACAAAACATCAACCAAAAACAGCACGCATATGGAAATGTATTTCATAACGCTCTCCAATATGCGTTTGCCCTCAAAACAATTGATTCTTATTATATTTAAGAATGAGCGCATTGCAAGCTGCTCTGACGTACGGGCCAGACGCGTGGACACCTATGCAGGATAATGAAAACAACGAAACGAGTGCGCAAAGAAAGCGATTTGAGAGGATGCACGCTGGGAATGACACGTGGTGAGAGACGGGGGAACGAGCGTGGATTAGAGAGCGTACGTTTGGATAAAGGGCTTCACGTTGACCGGGAAGAAACGTGCGTGGGTGCTTGGGCAGGGCCATGACACCGCTAGCATAATTCTGAAAGAAAAGAGAAAAAAAACCCCACTAAATATATTACGGTTCGAAAAATTGCGAAACCATCTGAAGGTGCACAGTGCGCTGCGATTCGCACTGTTTGTTTTTGATGTCGAATGCATTGGCCGCATGTATGTGAATCTGCCTCAAAGAGCAATTCACACAAAAAAAAACACGCATTTAGGATAAAGCTGTACGCTTTATTTTTCCTCGAACCTCGAAAACGATGCTTTTGTACGACACAACCTGGAACGTTCCGAAACGTTTCCAATTGCGAGGGATGTGACCTGCTCATAAAATCCACAATTTTATTTTGAATTCGGCAAAAAATATTCCTTTATTGTTTAGCACTCGTTTACTCGTCGCCCAAGTGGATATACAGGAATAAACAAGATACGTATTTTGCACCAAGCGGACAAAGCACCGGGCACAGATTCAAACCTTCAAAGCACCATTGGTAATAACATATTTACATGTTATGCTGTCAAGTACAATGAATACAGTATAACATTTGTTGCGAGTTAACATACGTTTCCTTTTAATAAAGTATGCCTTGCAATCCACGTACTGAAGGACTCAGCATCAGCCATGATTTGATGGCAATGTAAATGGGACACAATCTTGTTTTGTGCAATGCTTCGTCTTTCTCATTTTGCGTGTGGCTCTATAATGACACAGTCATTATCTCGAAGACCGACCTGCTGGAAGAAGCGAGCTCGCTTCATAAAACATTTAAAGTATCCCGTTCCATTCAATTGTCTCATATGATTAGCATTTGGCAGCGATAAAAAAATAATAATCTAAATTTTTTAAAGTTAAAATAAAATGTGACTGTTACAAATTAAACATTTGCATTGTGAGCTGGGCTATCTGCTTATTTAAGTAATATTGATTACTTTACTTTTTATCGATTCCATTATTTGACTCATCAAATAAAACAAACAAATTTTGGAGGAAAAGAAAAGGCCCTCACCTCTCTTGCCACGTGTGCCGCTGGACAGGACATTGTTTGCAGGACTTTGATGTCATCGGCATCATCAGCCGCATTGCAGGGGGGTTTTCCTGCCTTCGTTAGGCAGGATGTTGGTGTGGTTGCAGTATTAAAGGAGCTCCCCCGGTATTCAACTTCAAATAGTTGATGCCAATGTTGTATTCGATTAATTAACTTAATTGACTCATTCACGCTCAGCTCTACTTATGAGTAAGCTATCGATCACGTAGCACTGTTCAGTTACAAGTTCCAATCCCGGCCGAAGATCAATTCAGCCACATTATCCCTCCTAGGTTCAAATAAAAACGCGTAACAATTCGCTTGAAGTGAGACGTGGGAGACACCGTGTTAGCGTGTTATTTTCCACTGATATTTTAAGATCAACGAACAGAAATGTGGTCCCGAAACCCCACCACGCTCGTTTGAGCAAAAGGGCACAAGGTGACTTCACGCGGTTACACGTGTTGCTCAGGACGAAGTTGTCATGACAAGTCTGGCCTCTGAGATGGACTGAATCGTGTTCACGCATCACATTTTGGCCCATGAAATATAAATTGGCCAACAACAAAACGATCCCAAGGCAGGATCCTTCCGAAAATTTGCCTTGAAATTCAGCGAAGGCTTTCCAAGATAAAAATCAGATTACAATTTGTTTGCATTCTCATCTACTAAGTTTAGGATATGAACCGGAATTCAAATCCGTGATCTTGAATGCTTTTGCTCATTAGTTTATAATGTAACCCCCTGAGCCACTGAGTAACATGTAAAGCGTGATTTCAAAACACATAAAATTTGTTATTGCGAATATACTTCTGTAAACGTAAAAAAAAAGAACAACGATATAATGCATTCGTGATATAAAGTAATAAAATGGTTGAACAACAATACTTAAAGAAGTACATTTCGTAAGTCCTTTAAAAGATGATTTTTGTTTCTATGTTTTCCCCGATTGCGCTATCGGCCGTCAAGTCACGAGATGCAGTATCCCTTCGGATCTCTCGCACAGCGGTGCAACCCCTTCTCTGTGTCAGGGAATGGCCCACGGAAGTGGGCATCACAGAGCTGCCTCTCAGCTCCCCTCGAGTGACATGTGGTCCACGCAGTAGAGGGCAACATTTCCCCCACTCGCTCCACATCACCTGCGTGATGTTCGCCACAATTCAGTCATAACGATCATTTAAATCTCATTGCCGGAAGCTTGGTCAAATTGAGTGCAGAACTAAAGTTTTGCATAACCAGTTGTGTTTTTTTTTGCTGCAGTCATTGGTGACCGGGCTGAGACATTCAACTCATTACAAATGAGACGTCAATTTGAATCACGGACAGGCGTCTGAATTTTAACCCAGGATCTCAGCGGTCGTCGGCTTACAAATTGAAAGGTGGAATTTATGGCAGTTTTTCAGAGCGGCACATAATTTCACATTTTTGATTTAAAGCTTTCGTGACTGCAGGGATTCATGTTCTTGGTTCTTTCGGTAAAGTCACGTAGAAGGGAAACAATAAAATAATAAAAATGTAAAACAATAAAATTATCACGACGTTTCGACTGCAACACAAGCAATCATCATCAGGTGTGAAAACCACAGCAAGAAAATTTGAAAAAAGTGGCGGTTATTTTTTGATTGTTCACGCTTACGGTGGCTTTCAGACCGCATCCATTATTTTCGTATCCCCCCTCCTCTTTTCCGAACATAGATGGACTCGTCCATCTGAACAAACTACCAAATCGCTCTCCGTGGTGCTAACGTTAAAAAAAACCGCCACTTTTTTCAAATTTTCTTGCTGTGGTTTTCACACCTGATGATGATTGTTTGTGTTGCAGTCGAAACGTCGTGAGAATTTTATTGTTTTATATTTTTATTATTTCATTGTTTCCCTTCTACGTGACTTTACTGAAAGAACCAAGAATATCATTTCACATGTTTCCCTTCTACGTGACTTTACTGAAAGAACCAAGCATACCATTTCACATGTTTGTTTCACCAACATCACCACTTTTTTTTTTAAAACAGCAGTAACATTACTTCAATGAGGTTGCGTACAAGTTTAGCTTTGAAATGTCCGGGGAAACAGTCGTAGCTTGGAAATGTCTGAAAGTTACTTTTCAAAGCCAATCTTATTCATTTCATAAACTCATTCGATATGATATACTGGGCAAAAGAATGTCGCAATGCATTTATCATCGACACAACACTTGATTGTCACGGCCAACTATACGACACATGTTATATAGATATATAGAACAGTTGCATTCATAACAATATAAACAGTGCAATACAAACAATACCTGACAACGCATTAACAAACTATTGCCGTATATCAGTGATGGCTCTGGCAAAAACAGTGCCGCTGATTTCATGGAACACGGTTTAATTGTGGAGCGCTCGACTCAAAGTTTAGGGAGGGAGGGAGGGAGAGAAAAAAAACTCAACTCGTTCGTCAATATCGCTGTGCGGCCTTGAAAATTAAACAAAAATATTATAATAGACAACGTTTCTAGCAATTGCCCTTCCTCATAACACACGCAATGTCACGTTGCGGTCACGTTACTTGAAATGAAGCCGCGTTGATTTGTACGCAAGGTTAGCTTTGAAATGTTCGAGGAAAGAGCCGAGGAATAAGGGCACCATTCCTACTTTATATATTTTTTTTATTTTAGGCCAAAGTATTTGGACGAATGTGAGCGAGTTTTTTGGGTGGGTGGGTGGGTGGGGGGGGGGCATGGGGGGAATATTTGTCCATGTGCACCGTTGCTAAAGCAGCAGCAGCAGCAGCTAATGTTCAAAGTGAGGAAGGTCACACAGGAAGGCCGTGAGGTTTCCGAGCAAGGTGCGGACGGCGTGCTCGTTAACCACCGCCTCGCCTCGCATCGACGGTCGTCAAGATTAGCACCACTACAGGAGCGGAGCTCGCTGCTCGCCTTCGCCCCGTCACCCCGGATCGAACCCGTCCCGAGCTTTAACCTCAACCCATCCTTCAGGCAGTCACCCCTTGACTAATTGTCGAACAAAAGAACTCGTTTCATAAAGGTGAAGAATGAAATGTATATTTAAAAAAAAAACAATCTATAAGAGATAGGAGAGGGATGCATTAAGAAGAGAAATATGATTTAAAAAAAATTACCCACGTGACTTTACCGAAAGAACCAAAGAGTATAGAAATATGATAGACGGATTCAGAAGAGCAATATGAGGTGAGAAGTGTATTCAGGTGACAGTTATGAGTGAGTGGATAGCAAAAATCGTGATTCACGAATCGAGGCGTAACGAATCATCCCAACACACACAGAGATGATGAAGTGTCACAATTCAATTGAAACACTGTGGTGAATGTAGTTGCGACGTGTCGCTGCAGTGGTCACATGAACCAATTGTCTTAAAGGTAGGATTGTCTCCTCCTCCGACGTACAATAGAAACTGGGACAATCTGATTGCAAGAAGGGATATCTCACAGCACCGAAAGAAGGGAGCGGTGCATGTAAATGTAAATGCATTGCCTTGAGTGGTGGAGTATTGCACAACTGACACAAAAACTGGGACTTTTAACGTCCCGGGAAGACTTGCAGATTTCAAAATAGAGAATGATCCTACAAAAAGCAGCGCCCTAGTACAGGATACATGAATTTTAAAAAAAATGGACTTGCACAAACACAATTCGACGCACGTATCTCGATGAGAATCGATTTTAATCTATTAATCAATGCATCGTTACACCTTTACTGATGCTATCACTTTGATGAGAGTTGGACAGAATTGTATGATGCATGGTCCGCCTCTGTTGGTGGTTTATGTGTGTACGGTTTGCGTACATTGTGAGTGTACGGTTGTTATTGTATTTTTTTAATTGTTCATTTTGTACTAATTAAAAAAATTGTGTTTTCCCCTATGATATACTGGCCCCTGGCATAGGAAGGTTGAATTTCCATCACCGGTTTAAACCTGCTAATGGAGACACATGGCTTACTTTGGACGGCTCATCTCATGCAGTTTTGTGCTCAAACAGTCTAGGGATCCAATCAGGCCATCATCTCTTTAGGGTTGGACTGATAAATTGAGTACCACTTAGTGAGGCTGCACTACACCTGGGTTTAGGAAGGTCAACACCATTTATCCAAATGGATGCATGAGTTCCCTGCCATGGGAATGTGGAAATATCCAACCCCTACGGAGAAAACCAACTGCGATCAGCAGAGCCGATGTGTTTAAAATGAGCGACGGGGGGCTTGAGCGTGTTTTTAATGCAGTCATTATCAGCCATGGTCAATCCACTGCTGGATGAAGGCCTCCCCAAGCCCTGCGCCGTCGCTCGCGATGCTGCGATGTATAAAATGATCCTCCCGGCTCCTGCACCTTGAACTGATTACTTTGGTGGACGTAACCCTATTGGATGCGTCCCATTCCTCGGCTGCCACTCCAACAGAGTTTAGATGCAGTAATCGTTATTTAAAAGAAAACAAAAACGTGTAAAATCCTTCAGCTAGTTCTATGAAGCAAGCCATTGCACGGAGTAAATCAAAGCTAACATTCTGTGTCCATTAACACCGAGCCAATTTTACAATGACCTCTTAAACTACGGACCTGCCAGTTAATCTGTCATCACAAAAGCCATAAAGCAATTGGATTGTCCAAGTGTTATACAAGATATGCGTGTGGCCCATATGCCATTTCAGTGGTACACCACTTCTATAGAATGTGGGTCAGACGATTTTGTATCACTCAGCACACCTGCAATTGTACAATTATATATTTGAGTCTTCACTTTTTTTCCTTTGAGTAACATTCACCAATAGATGCAAACCTGCTCACTGACAATATGTTAAACGCCGGTCGGCTTCATGCAATCACACGCGTGGTATTTATGCCGAGTCAAGTACAACACTGCTGGTGCTGATTAGTCAAAGCTCATCTCCGTGACTTGGGTGGCAAGTGGTTATTTACTGTGGAGGTCCCATTCATCTGAACGTTAGTACCTGCAAGGCACAGTAAGGACAAAGACATACAGTAGGACATCAGAAAGGGCCTTTGAATTAGATGCATTTGGCCATTCATTCTTCCATGTATTGAAGTACAAATCCTCTTATCTGTGTGTATATTAAGCAATGTTAAGATTATCCATGCCTTCAAATTAATCCAAGCGTAATCATATTATTCACTCGAGAATCATCCCTATTATCGTAGCCTTCATACGTATTCTAGGAATTACCCAAAAGTGGCAGCCTGAGAGGGTGGGTGGGTGGGCATCATGAGAGTGTGGGTGTGGATGGGTGGATGATTCGGTGAGTACGTGTATGGATGGATGAGTGAGTGAGTAACTGTATGAGTGGGTGAGTGACTGGGTGGTTGGATGGGTCAGTGAGTAAGTGGATTGATGGGTGGGTGGGTCAGTGAGTGGGTGGGTATGTGGATGTAATGGGTAAGTGAATGAATAGTTGTGTCAATGGGTGAGTGAGTGAGTGGGTGTGTTGGTAAGGAAGTGAATGAATGGGTAGGTGGGTGAATGGGTAGTTCAGTGAGTGAGTGAGTGCGTCATTAAGGGAGCTAATTAATGGGTGGGTGAGTGAGCGAGCAAGTTGCATCTCATCTCACTTATGAACCGTGGCCGAACAAATTCAGTTATAACTCACGGTGAGATGCGGCAGTTGGAGGCAGACGCATAGTTTCCTGTGTAGCGCACGTCACACCGCACAATATTGTTGGAGTAGTCCATCTCGGGCACGATATAATTCGGGTTCACCTGAACCTACACACACACAAATACAGACATTTTTGGGGCAAGTGCTGTTAGCGAGCACCTATGAAGGCCGGCACGGTATACGAGAGGGTGGGTGATCAGCACCACGCCCGTCCGCCTTTGTCTCCCCATTGGTGTGCGTACACTACACGATGTACTCATTTGAGGCCGAGTCGACCTAGGCGCGGCCCAGAACCCGTTCAGATAACCGTCACTGGTGTCGGCCATGAGCTGGAATCGAACTCGGGTCACCGGGTTCGTAGCGCAGAGCACTAACGGCTACACTACCACTCCGCACACACACGTGCATGTGTGCCTGTGCACAACTACGCACAAGCATTCCACAAACACAACACTGCGTGAATGTCACACCAGCACGGTGCTTGAATGAGGCTCGGTGCACTTTTGTACGCGCGTTACACTACCTTACATTTATAAAGCGCTTTTATCCAAGGCGTTTGACTCGGGGTTATGAGTGGTGCAATTAGGGTAGCTAAAAGTACGGTGGATGGGGATGGGGTATAGGAAGGGCGGTTAGTGGGTACCGGAATTACGGTGGGTGCCTAGGGATGGAGGGAATGGATGGGCCAGGGAGAAGGGGTGGACCTTCTTTGGCACCGTACGTAGCCAAACTGTGACACTCGGAGGTGCGGAGGAAGGACAACAAGTAAAGTGCCGAACGCTCGCTGGTCAGAGGTCACGGGACAGACCCAAGTGCTGTCGGGAAAAACATACTGTGGTGTCATTTAACCGATAGCACTTTCATCACAAAATGGAGTATACACACACACACCTCTTCCAGGACGTGTGGCCAGCATGGAAGAGTAGGCCAAATAGATTCATAAAGCGACTCCAGCAGGAAAGGTGTCAACCAAGATAACTGCAACTTGACTTATCCCAGATGTACATTGAATGGCGCCGCTTGGTAAAACAAACATTTATCTGCCCTATCGATTTCCCCCCCCCCCAAAAAAAAAAAACTTTTATAAAAAAACTTTTATAAAAAAACTTTTATTCCAGTGGCCGGCCACCGATGCGGATAAAAAGCAGTGGCCGACATGGAAATGTCGACATGCCGACATGAAATCGATTCGTTCTGCAGCCCACGTTCCCTCGCCCGTTCCCCTCTGCAGAAACATCGCGTCATAGGAATGGGAACCGCTCTCTAAGCGCCGAACTCCGCATGTTGGCGTTGCGAGAAGCACCACGAACCCGGCGACCCGAGTTCGATTCCCGCTCACGGCCAACACCGGTGACGATCTATCTGAACCGGTCCTGGGCCTCCCCAAGGTCGACTCGGTCTCAAATGAGCACCCGGTGCGGTGTGTAGTAAACATCGCCACCGGGGAGACAAAGGCGGTCGGGCTTCGTGCTGGCCAGCCACCCCCTCGTGTGCCGTGCCGGCCTTCATAGGTGCTGCTCGCTAACAGCACTTGCCCCAACAGTCTGTTAAGGCTATAGGGTGGGAGAGGGAATCTTTGTCTTTGTCGTGTCCTGGCACATTTCCACCACTACATACGAAAGTGAATTTGAAACCCAGTGATACAGTTATTGTCGATGAGAGATACAGTACATTCCAGAGATGCTCTTGAATAACAAATAATGTTATTGGCCCACGAAAACGTATCTTTTGAATTAATTATATTAAGTAAATACGTAAGTAAGCCATAAAATACATGGACATTATCACAACACAGACAAATAAAAACTGGTTACATTAAACACCAGGTAAATAAAAGTGTTACATAGTTATTTGTAAATTAACTTATGGTGTGCATCATCACTTTATACCATGACCTTATCGCATCACTCTATCTCTCTCGATGCAGTAAGTCGTGTCGTGTTCTAGATGCGATTCGCGGATAGCCGAAATCGCGGAGATGACGGGGGTATACTGTGCTGTCTGCACACACGGAGGCTGAGGAACATCCGACAGCGTCGTTGTGCAATGCCACGTGAGGGACTCTGTTTGTCATGGTGTGGTCATGGAACTGTTTGTGCTGGGGGTCTGCTGCCTTGTATGCATGTACGCTGAACTTCTTTCGCACCGAACATAGCCAAGCGTGATAATTGGAGGTGCCTTGCCCAACCTTGGGAATTGGTGTACTTATTCACTTTGAACTTGCATACTTTTAATATAATTTTTTGTGATTTGTTTACCTTTCCTATACTTGGCACTCATATAGTTTTTTTATTATTATTATTATTTGTCGTTGTCATTTTCTGACCCGGCCCTACTGGACATCTGTGAAGAAGAGCTTCATAGCTCATCGGATTTCATCTCCAGGATAAATACAGATTCTGATTCTGAATGTGGGTGACGATGTCTCAACAATGGACCGTCTAGTGAACAACTATCCCACTGCCACTCATTGCCCTCAAACGTCTCTGAATTAAAAAAAATAAACTCCGCATCTCCTGAACCTCTCCTGTCGCCCTTCCTAGGATACGACATCGTCACGACATCGTCACGACCTCGTCACCACCCGTCACAGTTTATGGGGCCGATGATGACGACGACAACGACAATGATGACGACAATGATGACGACGATGATGATGACGACGATGATGACGACGACGATGATGATGACGATGATGACGACAATGATGACGACGACGATGATGACAATGATGACGACGATGATGATGACGACGACGATGATGACGACGACAACGACGATGATGGCGACGACGATGATGGCAACGACGATGATGACGACGATGATGGCGACGACGACAACGACGATGATGGCGACGACGACAACGACGATGATGGCGACGACGACAACGACGATGATGGCGACGACGACGATGGCGACGACGATGATGACGACGACAATGATGACGACGGCAACGACGATGGTGACGACGATGATGACGACGACAATGATGACGACGATGGTGACGATGGTGACGACGATGATGACGACGACGACGACGATGACGAATGTTCGACAATGGAAAGGGCACTTGCCTTCAGAATGTACTGCCCGGGTTCCACGTCAGTGATGTCGATCCACTGGCAGTCAATGTCGGCATTGTAAGTGTCGTAACAGCCAGGACTTAATCCCTGCAAGAAAAAAAAAATTAAAACAGCAAAGGGGTGTTAGTCTGAGAGAGGGAAGCATTTTTGTTTAGGATTTAGAGATTTTTACTCGATGAAAGTGCTCAACTGGAAGACGTCTTCACAATTCTGGAAAAATCGCCTGATGAAGCTAGTGGTTGGAATCACCAGCGAAACATCACAGTACTCAAATTGTAAATTATTGTGGGTTTACCCTCCAACACAACCGGTGTGGTGAAGTAATAACTGAGTGGGATGTTTTGTTCACGTGACAACTCTTACCGATTGGCTGTGTCGGGGAGTGGTGGGTTAACGACACATTTATGTTTTCGCGATCTAACCCAATAAACATTTATCATGGATATTAGTGGCGAAATCCTACTACGTATTAAACATTAGGGGCTTCAAAGTTTACTCACCAAGTTACCCACGCAAAAAAAACCACAATGAGTTTAACGTTGGTGCTGTGCATGACTTAGACAATTGCTTGATTACTTGTGCGTCACACTCCTGCATTGACTTTTATTAAATGCGTCTTTCATTTGAAAAGTTAGGCGTTTCTGGGTGGCTGTTTGGCTGGGAGAGCTCGCAACGTCTCGAGCAGAGACCAATTGAGTGCCGGCAATCAGAACCAGTTTCAGCCACCCCGGTCCTCAATTGTAGAGAGTTTTAATGGGCTGGACCCATTCAATCAATGACTGTGCACGCAATGGGAGAGCCAGGATTTTCAGGTGGGGGTGGGGGGGAACCTCTCCAGCAATGAAAAATGATAGAGTTGTTAGTTAGTAAGGAGTTGTTAATAAGTAAGGAGTTGTTAGTAAGTAAGGAGTTGTTAGTGAGTAAGGAGTTGTTAGTGAGTAAGGAGTTGTTAGTAAGGAGTTGTTAGTAAGTAAGGAGTTGTCAGTGAGTAAGGAGTTGTTAGTAAGTAAGGCGTTGTTAGTAAGTAAGGAGTTGTTAGTGAGTAAGGAGTTGTTAGTAAGGAGTTGAAGGCGAGTAAGGAGTTGTTCGTAAGTAAGGAGTTGTTAGTAAGGACTTGTTAGTAAGTAAGGAGTTGTTAGTAAGTAAGGAGTTGGTAGTAAGTAAGGAGTTGTTAGTAAGTAAGGAATTGTTGGTAAGGAGTTGTTAGTAAGCAAGGAGTTGTTAGTAAGTAATGAGTTGTTAGTAAGTAAGGAGTTGTTAGTAAGTAAGAAGTTGTTAGTAAGTAAGGAGTTGTTAGTAAGTAAGGAGTTGTTAGTGTGTATGGACTTGTCCCTTGCTTTTCATTCGACGCGTGTGTGGCGATGGCCCGGCCATCGATCGAGGGTCGAATTCGAACCGCGTTGTGTGATCGGCATCGCGCTCTCTGAAGGTGTTGATGCCTTCGGGGAAGTCGTGGACTCTGTATACGCAACTGCGCACAATTCTGTGAGTCACTTATAACTGCTTTGCCGTTACTTATTGACAATTATGGACTCAGACTATTGTCCTATCATCTCATAGAGTCCCTGGCACACAATAATAATAATATGTACACAGTGGCAGTGGGGGTCACAAAATTCCGATTTATTACTAATAAACCCCAGTGATCCGATCGAAATTAGGGATTTCGATCGGATCATTAGGGGGGGGGGGGTGGGGGGCACGTGCCACCCACCCCCACTGGCTGCGCCAGTGTGTTCACAATTAAAACTGTCGAGGCAATTGTCCAGATTACCTGGACAACCAGACCGACTCATGGGCAGGTGGATGGAAAGGCAGAGAGACATACAACAGAAGAGGCACACAGACAAACAGAAAAACCGACAGGAGAAAAAATAACAAGCAGATAAATGCAAGAGCAGACAGATTGTCAAGCAATGTCAGACAGAGAAAATAATACATGGATGCACAGATGAATGGAGGAATAACGTTGACATTTTTACGGACAGACTAGCACGGAGAAATATGTAGAGACGGACAGAAACATTGGCCAGGCAACCAAACAAAAGGAAAGCAAAGCAAAAAGGATTAACAAATAAACAAATACAGCGGAATGTTAGGCTAGATAAACAAGACAGATAGCCTGCTTGACAGCCATTCAATCAAACAGATGGATGGATGAATGGACTGACACAAGGAGAAACGGACCCACGAATGGACAGACGGACAGAAGAAGTGATGGACAAAAGGACTGATGACAGATGGATGGACAGACAGACGTTTGCACAGATGAGCGAATGAACGTCAGACAACTGAACATATGGACAGGCACATGGGCATATAGACTGACAGACCGAGAAATGGACTAACATATGGACACACGGACAGGTCGATAATTGGATGGACGGACAGATAGACGGACAACATGGACAGACTGATGGATAGATAGTAGCACACAAACTGATAGGCAGACGGACGGACCTGCTGGTGAGCGGCACACGTGTATCGCTTAGAGTATCCGTAGTCGCAGGACGTGTCCTCCAGGCAAAAGCTGGCCTTGTGACCCTCCGCCACACGCCTCTCTGTCGTGGCGTCCAGCAGATCGTAGTGGCTGAAGGAATCCATGCTGTGGAAATGCCTGAACGCACAAAACCACGGCGACGCGTGGTTGGCACCACAGGTCACGTGGGAAGAGATAATCCTCATCGTCAGCCGTGGTCAATCCGATGATGAATGAATGTCTCCCCAAACCGCTGCCACCTCTTGTGGTGTCATAATATGCCGAGCCCCTGCACAGATGTGACAATCGATTTTGGGCACTGCGGTGGTGAGATGTTATCTCCCTCGCCTGCTATACGTGGGTTCGATCCCGACCCTAACGCCTTTATATTTGCAGTTTGCATGTCTCGCTCCCCGTGGTCACGTGAATTTTTTTTCCGGTTACTCCGGTTTTTTTTTCACTCCAAGTTCAGAATCAACACGCGTTTGAAGTATTTGGCTGCTATCAATGTCCACGTGATAAGAAACTTGGTTAAGTTATCATTTGTGTGCCAGGCCGCTTCTGAAAAAGAGCTATATAGCTCAGTGGGCGTTACATGGTTCAAATAAGTAGTTTACAGTGGTTTGTGTTGATAAAAGGCATAGGAGACAGAAAAAAATATAGGACAGTGATGTATTGGGAAGAGAGCCAATATAAGAGATGTATTCAGAAAACAGCTTTAGGAAGGAGAGATAATGTACGTCTACCGGTGGACACCCGGAGAGATTGAAGCCCTGCGCTTGGCTCTGACTGTGCGGGGGTGGTGCAGGGCTGGTGCTCTGACTGTGTGAGGGTGGTGCAGGGCTGGTGCTCTGACTGTGTGAGGGTGGTGCAGGGCTGGTGCTCTGTGTGAGGGTGGTGCAGGGCTGGTGCTCTGACTGTGAGGGTTGTGCAGGGCTGGTGCTCTGACTGTGCGGGGGTGGTGCAGGGCTGGTGCTCTGTGTGAGGGTGGTGCAGGGCTGGTGCTCTGACTGTGCGGGGGTGGTGCAGGGCTGGTGCTCTGACTGTATGGGGGTGGTGCAGGGCTGGTGCTCTGACTGTGTGAGGGTGGTGCAGGGCTGGTGCTCTGACTGTATGGGGGTGGTGCAGGGCTGGTGCTCTGTGTGGGGGTGGTGCAGGGCTGGTACTCTGACTCTGTAAGGGTGGTGCAGGGCTGGTGCTCTGTGTGGGGGTGGTGCAGGGCTGGTGCTCTGACTGTGTGTGGGGTGGTGCTCTGACTGTGTGTGGGGTGGTGCAGGGCTGGTGCTCTGACTGTGTGATGGTGGTGCAGGGCTGGTGCTCTGACTGTGTGAGGGTGGTGCAGGGCTGGTGCTCTGACTCTGTGGGGGTGGTGCAGGGCTGGTGCTCTGACTGTGTGAGGGTGGTGCAGGGCTGGTGCTCTGACTGTGTAAGGGTGGTGCAGGGCTGGTGCTCTGTGTAAGGGTGGTGCAGGGCTGGTGCTCTGACTGTGTGTGGGCTGGTGCTCTGACTGTGTAAGGGTGGTGCAGGGCTGGTGCTCTGTGTGGGGGTGGTGCAGGGCTGGTGCTCTGACTGTGTGAGGGTGGTGCAGGGCTGGTGCTCTGACTGTGAGGGTGGTGCAGGGCTGGTGCTCTGACCGTGTGAGGGTGGTGCAGGGCTGGTGCTCTGACTGTGGGGGTGGTGCAGGGCTGGTGCTCTGACTGTGGGGGTGGTGCAGGGCTGGTGCTCTGACTGTGGGGGTGGTGCAGGGCTGGTGCTCTGTGTGAGGGTGGTGCAGGGCTGGTGCTCTGACTGTGTGGGGTGGTGCAGGGCTGGTGCTCTGACTGTGTGGGGGTGGTGCAGGGCTGGTGCTCTGTGTGAGGGTGGTGCAGGGCTGGTGCTCTGACTGTGTGGGGTGGTGCAGGGCTGGTGCTCTGACTGTGTGAGGGTGGTGCAGGGCTGGTGCTCTGACTGTGTGGGGTGGTGCAGGGCTGGTGCTCTGACTGTGTGAGGGTGGTGCAGGGCTGGTGCTCTGTGTGAGGGTGGTGCAGGGCTGGTGCTCTGACTGTGGGGGTGGTGCAGGGCTGGTGCTCTGACTGTGTGGGGGTGGTGCAGGGCTGGTGCTCTGTGTGAGGGTGGTGCAGGGCTGGTGCTCTGACTGTGTGGGGGTGGTGCAGGGCTGGTGCTCTGTGTGAGGGTGGTGCAGGGCTGGTGCTCTGACTGTGTGGGGGTGGTGCAGGGCTGGTGCTCTGTGTGAGGGTGGTGCAGGGCTGGTGCTCTGTGTGAGGGTGGTGCAGGGCTGGTGCTCTGACTGTGTGAGGGTGGTGCAGGGCTGGTGCTCTGACTGTGTGAGGGTGGTGCAGGGCTGGTGCTCTGACTGTGTGAGGGTGTTGCAGGGGCTGGTGGCTCACTGATGGCAGCTGTGCCATTCCCACTGATGCTGCGGCCGGCTCGGAAGGAAATCCGCGGAGCCCTGGTTCTTGACTCGCTGTGGGAACCTCAGCAGCATCCGCGTGTCGTAGTCGTTGGCCTCGTAGCGGTACGCCGAGCTGCGCACAACGCAAGGGGGCCGTCCATTAATGACGTCACGCGATTTTTGACCCCCCCCCACCTTCGTCACACGGCGTCGCAAAAAGTCAGACCCCCCCCCCCTCAAATATGACGTCACAAAGCTCTGCCCCCCCCGCCCCAAAAAAAACATGCTTCAAATCGCTTTAAACTATTGTCATTGTAGTGCGTATTTAATGTGGCGGCGCTGCACTCTGATGTTGTAGGAGAAAACATTTATTAAAAAGTATATTTAATTAAGTGGAACGTGTTGTCTATATTTATTTAAAGTTGCGCATTTGATGTGACGTCACATTCCTAACCCCCCCCCCCCACACCCTCGTCACACATCGTCACAAATGTCTGACCCCCCCCCCGCCCCCTTAGGTGCGTGACGTCATTTATGGACGGCCCCAAGGTCAATCGAAGTCGCCACCGTTTGGTGTTCGGTCATCACCCGCAAGTACCTTTGATCGCTTGTCATTGTTGTCAGCTGTGGTATAATGATGGTCACAATCAGCAATATTATTATAATCATCATCATCATCGGTATAATTTACCAATAAGTTGCCACTATTATCATCATCATTATAGGGTCACGATCACAATTATGAAAGAAAATTAAACTTTGTAAAATTGTGTTATCATGATCAGAATCATCATTGTGGTGATCCCTCGCAATCGTCTTCGCATTATCAATAACAGTAACCATCACCGCTTTCGTCATCAATCAACTGCCATCATCGCCGTCAATAATCTTCAATCGGCATGTTCAACAACGCGGCGTCATTGTCGTTGCAATCAATGTCCCCCATGTGCAGTGCTGTATTGATGCGATAATTATCAGCAATGTCGTGTCGTGTGTATTTGGGAGCGGCAGTGTCGGCTAGCGCGCTGCGCTACGAACCCGGCAACCCGAGTTCGATTCCCGCTCATGCCCAGCAACACCACTAGCGATTATTTGAACCGGTCCTGGGGCCTCCCCCTGGTCGACTCAGCCTCAAATGAGTACCTGGTGCGGTGTGTCGTGCCGGTCTTCATATGTGCTCGCTTAATAGCGCTTGCCCCCCAAACAGTCTGTAACAGGCTAGCACGGGGGATCTGTTGTCCGCGTCTTATCCCGACTCACCTTGCCAGGCACCTCTCTTCGGCCGCACAGCGCACCGAGTACATTGTGACTTTCTGCACGTACGTGGCGATCTGAACGTAATACGGATCTGGCACCAAGTCCGGTAGCCCTGGTGGGAATTTAACAACGGGAGCAAAACGTCAAACCAGCGAGAGGCAGAATCAAAATGTGTGTGTGTTCATGCTGGAGCAATCCGATGAGCTATGAAGCTCCTTTTTCACACATGTCTGGTAAGGGGGCGGGTAAGAACGTTACGATAGCAAACAATACCAACACGTGATCGTAAGTGCATAGTACAAGAAAGCTAAACAAACAAATCACACAAATACAGCCAAAGCCCACTGAGGCATTCATTCGTTTTTCAGCAGCGACCTGGCTATCACGGACTGATAGCTCAACGGAGTGGCTTACCTCGCTAGCTTCGGACTTGCCGAACCCTTGCGAGCGAAAGGTCACGAGTTTAAATTACATTCGAAGGTCAACCCGGCCTAACATCAACATCGTCGTCGTCATCATCATCATCACCATCATCCTTACAGGGTGAATAAAACGAGCACTGTGGTTATTTACTCGTTTGTCTACACTGGTCCCCGCCACAGCACCGTGTAATTTCCACCACAGAGATTGGCGCCACAGCACCGTGTAATTTCCACCACAGAGATTGGCGCCACCCGTGTAATTTCCACCACAGAGATTGGCGCCACCCTGATGTTCGATTGAGCCAAGGAGGCACCTTGATTTCCCTTTCCTCTCATGTCATCAATGTCAAATCATCGAATGTCATCTGATATCATTAACTGATGGTGTAATGAACTAGTATGCTCCCCCCTAATGTTTGCCGATTGTGATTTCGGCATCACAGCGCGAAGCATCCTCAATAATCTCTCACAAGCGGGGGCACTCGACTAACCTGCCCTGCCACTCGGAAGTATGCCCGGTCGTGCGAGATATATTTCATTCCCAGAGCTGGAACTAAACCACATTGAACGCGTTGGGTTTCCCGTGCAGTCACTGACATCTTCAATTCGCTACACGTGTTAACCTAATTGAATGGGAGGCGGCTGCTTGGATTCGAACCCAGGATCTCGTTGGCTCCAACTCAGCGCCCTGACCTCTAAGCCACCGAGCTGCCGTGGTGTGTCGACGAGGATTGTCCCACGACCCTCATCTGTGGCCGTGGATAGCAAAATGTGATATTCCATCGTTTTTTGGTCATACTATCATTTGGTAATTAAACACATCAGGGTGGCTGCGTGCCTCAGGGGCGTATTGAATTGCGTCCAAATCCTGCGTCGCTAGAATCCAGGGTTGGTTCGGCCAACCGTGCATTTGTTTGATATTGAACAAGAAACGATTACAAAGCACGAGCGATAGAGGGAAGAGGGATGCAAGCATTCCACGGGCGACAAGCTCGAGGCCAGGTGCCCACGGAGGTAAAGGGGGGGGGGGGGGGAGAGCGATTGGGCTTACTGTCCCCCCGGACTCACGTAGTGGCAACGTTTGGGAACGTAGTCATTTCAGGGGAGGGGAAGGAGAGGGAAGGGTGGGGGGCGGAGAGAATTTTCTCCAACGGAACCGCGAAATAGAATCAAGTGGACGCGCTGAGTGAACTTGTGGTGATAATGGAACCCCCCTGTGGTGGAAAATAAACTTGTGCCTGTCCATGAGATAGTGTGTTGGGAGTCTGTCAACACTCTCCACCAGCTGACCAACTCGTATGCTGTACTAGTGACGAATTGGCCACGTTCTGTTGACGTGACAACCCTTACGAGTTGGCTGTGTCGGGTGGTGGCGGGTTTCAACGATACATGTATATATTTACGCGATCTAACCCAAAAAGTCTCTATTATGGATCAATTTGTTTCTCAAGTGGAGAGAGTTGATGGTCTCACCACAGTCACCAGTGACTGCACACAGAAACAGAAACACTCGCAAAATACATTTGATTTTTTTTTACATTTTCCAACTAATGTTGAAAGCATATTCTTGGTTCTTTCGGTAAAGTCACGTAGAAGGGAAACATTAAAATAATAAAAATATAAAACAATTAAATTCTCACGACGTTTCGACTGCAATACAAGCGTTTATGCATCATTAGCTCACTATGTCCGTCTTAGATTATTTGACTGCGATACTTTTCCACGTGATAAGTCACTTAGTTGAGCTATCATTTACGGCCATATCAATTCTGAAAAATAGCTTTATAGCTCAGTGGGCTTTTCCTGGTAAAATTAAAATTTTAGTTTTCGTATATTTATTTATTCACAGTGATATGCTTACTTTTCCTATATGTTGCACTCCGATCGTGTTTTGTGTATTGTTTGTTGTTGTAACTTTCCAACCTGAACCTAGTGGACATCTGTTGAAAAGAGCTTCATAGCACATCGGATTTCTCTCGGATAAATACGGATTTTGAATCTTATTTCCATCGTTAATAAGCAGTGGGGGTGTGGGGGGGGGAGAACACAGCTCCAATATGAACACAACTTTAGTATAAACTTTAGTATAAAGTTGTGTAGCTATTTGTAAATCACCTTAGAGAAGATTGATCAAGTTCTTCATACATGCTCACGAATGTTGTCCTAACGGCTACCCGTCAGCTTCTGTGCTGCTAAATCAATACATTCTTCCAAAGACAAACGCATGCTGGAAAGCATTACGTAACCCATGCGTATGCACGATATTTTTTTTACGGGCCTGTTTCACGTGATTTTAATCATTATTCCAGATCTTGTTTTGGTTAAGTCGTATATGTCGGTTGAATTGCCACGTTGCAAATACTCCCTTGCAGGCCCCTCGCGCGTGCTGTATCCCTCGTGTGGATAAAGAGGTGAAGGGACTTGAGAGATATTTTTAAAACACCTGTAAAGTCGTGGTGCGTTGCGTTCTGAACCCTGTCGCATGAGTTTGATTCCTGGTCAAAGGCTAACATCAGTGCCAGTGAGATCTGAACCGGTCCTGGGCTCTCCCCTTGACCCACCCACACGAGTCGGCATGGTGAAGTATGGCCAAACAACCCCCATGATTAACACAGTGTCGTGGAGACATTTAACCAAAAAGCAGTGGATTGACAAATGGCTGTACAACATACAATGTCCCCAAACGCAAGGTAATTCTTTGACTCGTGACCAATGCAGTTAGAGCACAAAATAAACGGAGTTGAGTTAAATCAACACAATATATATGAAGAATGACGCAAAACCATAACTTCAATAATTCTACATTGCCCCTCTGATTAACACTGTTGGAAGACGTGCGGTGTGAAAGAAGTTCTGCACGCACGCGTCACGCTATAGGTTGCATAATTGTTACGTAACTTGTTACGCATGTTTCGATGCGTCAAGTGACTAGACCATTCTGCACTGAGACAAGTTACATAATATATCACTTTTGCGTGAAATCATTATTTTAGCAGACTTAGTGCAATCAAAAATATGTCAATACTGTTTAAATAATGAGATGTTTATGGATCTGAGAAAAAAAATCTGTAATGATGGAGACATATGCATCGCGGGGCCTTCTTACCAGTAAACATGTGCATGTTTCAAACATAAAACGTGCTATTTTGGCATCTGCTATCAGGCAAAATGTATACTTTTTTTGTAATGACAAAATTTAAACAACATGTTATTTGCTTAAACATCTACTGTGTAAGCAGTGGCCATCCTATGGAGACGCGAGCCTGTGCCAAAAGAACGTGGCGTTTCTGCCATTGGCACGGAGCTCAAAAAAGACACGTGCCAGTTAAAGGGGAGGGTGAACGTGAAAGGCAAAGGTGCGGCCCTGCAATGTTTTGCTCCCGTGCCCTGCTGGCGGAAGGGCCATCCCTCGAGGGAGCTCCTCTACAGGCTATTTTTTTTCTTTTTCTGGCCCTCATTAATGTTGGCCAGACATCTCGGAAGAGGCGAGAGCAACCACGACCCTTGCCTTACCACAACCCTTGCCTTGCCACAACCCTTGCCTTACCACGACCCTTGCCTTACCACAACCCTTGCCTTGCCACAACCCTTGCCTTACCAGAACCCTTGCCTTGCCACAACTCTTGCCTTACCACAACCCTTGTCTTGCCACAACCCTGCCTTGCCACAACCCTTGCCTTACCACTACCCTTGCCTTACCACAACCCTTGCCTTGCCACAACCCTTGCCTTGCCACAACCATTGCCTTACCGCAACCCTTACCACAACCCTTGCCTTACCACAACCCTTGCCTTACCACATTGAAACCTTCAGATCGACGAACTGTGGTGGCTACCCATTTATCAGACTGCTGATTGTTTCAACTGCCATGCCCTGAGGTTGAACCAGCAACCTCTCTGCATTGTCCAGTGTGCTTATTAGACACACCACTGCAGCATCTGTACTGGGTGCTGCTCGTGTGTGTGTGTGTGTGTATTCTGGTGGGCAGCGGTAGTTAACGCACTGCGCTATGAACCTGGCGACCCGGGTTCGACTCACGGCCAACAGCAGTGACGATTATCTTAACCATTCGTGGGCCTCCTCTAGGTCGACTCGGCCTCAAATTAGTACCTGGTGCGAAGTGCAAACATCGCTACCTGGGAGATAAAAGGCGGCCGGGCATGGTGCTGGCCACCCACCCCCTCGTGTGCTGTGCCAGCCTTCAAAAGGTGCTCACTAACAGCACTTGCCCCAACCGTCTGTTAAGGCTATAACGGGGGGAACTTTGTCTTCGTATATTCTGGAATACTGCCATTGCAATAAACAGCATATACAGTGGCAGAATGGAATGTCCCCTGATGCACCGCATTCCTTGTACTCCCAGATGGGAAACGATTTCTTCAACGAACAAACATGTGGCTTGCTCCCAGTGTTGTGGAGCCGAGTAGTGGGTGATGCAATTAGATTGTGTTTACAAAAAAAAAGCAGTCGGTATTTTTCAGATTTGGCTTCCAACGTGATGGTTCACTTGCTGCTAAAGCCATTGTTAAATGCTCAGTTTATTTATTTCAACGAAAGTGCCCCTATGTTATGAGTGGAAATGAAAGTGGATTTTTTTAAAATATATATGTTTAGCAACTCTGCCTCGGGAAAAATGACGTACACGCCTACATACATACATAGATGGATGCATACACACTCAATAATGCATATTATCAAACGTATTCAAAGAGCAGGCTTGACATGTAATGCAGCTATTATTGATATTCATTCTTAAGCTAAAGGACACGTGCATTCAACTGCATGAGTAAGAATCAATAATTTGTTTTTTTTGGTTTGTGCATGTTGTGTGCAATTTGGTTTGACTCCCTGCAGCCACTAGTGGCCGATACGACTGAGCACAACGTTAATAAAACACTCAATTATCAAATTGAATCGCAACCATGGAACGCAATCATTCATTGTAATGCAATTGGCGGGAGGGTGAACCATTCGATTATTGTGGGTTCTGGCTAACAATTAAATTGAAGAATCTTTACCCCCAAATCACGAATTCTTACTCCTCCAGCCTCTATAATCAAGGGAGTGTGGTAGAGTGATCATCTCTGTTAGACATCCTAAGCCCCAGCAATGGTAATTCCACTTTCCAATTGTGGGAGTGTTGAGACGCAAGAATACCACATTCATTTTCAAAAGTCACTGTGTCCGTGCTCAAACGCACAATGGTTGTTTATTCATATTAGCGATCCTCAAGTGGCAGTGGGAAATTCCACATTCCTTAAGGTAGGGGCAAGTAAATTATTGTGACAACTATTGTGGTTTTCCCATATTTCGGTCCTCATTGTATGGACCCTGGAGGAATTATGATGGGATTTGACTCTGATGGGATTTGACGGCAGGACATTTTGTTTGCGAATCAAGTACTTTCACCACAGCACTACACAGCTCGACACAAGCCACCCCAACACGTTGAGGAGTCGGTCTAGCACAGTGACTATTTCATCTCATCCGCAGTGTTTAACCACCACAGCACTCATCTTTCTGCTCTTTCCGTCGTACCGGTCAACTTTAAAATTCCCTCTCATCGCCTCTATTCCGAAGTTTGGATAACCGTGCTCAATTCAAGAATAGTATGAACTCTTCTATTTATTACACCTTCAACAGTGCTGTTTTTTTTTTGCTGACCGCTTGGCATTTTGGACCGGGTGCTCGGTGATAATAATAATAACAACAAAAACACATGCGTACAGCTATCAGCAACATGGACCAAATACACACCTTGCTGTTGACTTCTCTCAACAGCCACCCGCCTATTGTAGTACGAGTAGGGATTGTAGTACTGCATGTAGTACGGGTTCTCCTCCTGTCCGTACTCGTTGTAGTAGTAGCCGGGGTAATAGGGCTCGTCTCCTTGCATGCCGTCCCTACGACCCGCCGCCCCGTTGCCCCTCGCTCCCGCCGCCGCCGCCGCCCCGCCACTCTGCCCGTTCTCATTTTGCCGATCCGCGGGCGGCTGCCCGTCGTGAACGGACGCGGAGAAGGGCGGCTCCGACTCGGGCTGATGCTGCCACCGCCGCCGCTGCTGCCGCCCTCTCGTCGGTGCCGCAACCGTCGGCCGGAATGCTCTTGCGCCGGAGCGAGCCCGCACGGGGCTGGGTCCGGACGAACTTTGCGCCGCCTGGGCCTGAGTGCCCGAGGCGGCCGCGGTTGCGGCGGCATGACGCCTTCCTCCCCGGCTGTCCGCGTTCGGGGTCGCCGAGCGACGGCGACCTTCCCCTGCGAGCCACCAACTCTGCGCGGCGCTCCGCGCGGACGCCTGCCTTCTCGTCGGGGCCCTCCTGGTGGCGGCGGCGGCGGCGGCGGCGGCGGCGGCGCGGTCGCCCCCCGCTCGGGAGCTCTCCGCCGACGACGCTGGCGTGGGCGCGACGCGGCCGTGCTGCTGGGGGTCACGATGTGCCGTCCCACCGGCTGCCGCGAACTGATGGCCCGACGTCTGCAGGCTGTAGACGCGCCCGTTGTTGCTCCACCGGACGAAGCGATTGGAGTTGGGCGGTGTGGCCTGACGCTCGGAGCTGCAAATGAGTGGAAATAATGCGCACAGCAGCCCTAGCCTCAGCAGCCAAAGGCCCTGAGCTAAAATGTTCCACGTGTTCATTTTTAAAGGCCCGCTTTTTTTTCTTTTAAGAGGAACAAAAAAAGCCGTTGAAAATATTTCACAATTTCTACTCTCTTTAAAGTATAAAGCTAAGATAGATGGCTGTGATAAAACAGTAGATTTTTTTTCGCTATTAATTTGGTCTAGGGTGAAGCAGTTCAATTCCGTTAAAGTGCCTCAAAGTCTGATTCAGCTCGCCACGAATGGAAAGGTTTGCCGAAGAAAGTCTGCATCCACTTTCACTTATAACCAACATCTGTGCTCTCTCGCAGAGATCTGGCGGGTGGCTGGGTGGGTGCAGAATGTGAGATTTCTGGGGTGGAGGGGGAAGATTTTTCCCCCAAACCCACGACTCCTACCCCCACTTCAACATTTTTTTTTTAAAGGCACCATGTACAGATTTGTTTTCCTTAATTTGGTGTGTTTAGCGCATTCACACTGGACAGAAGCATAATAATAAGTCACGACGTTGGTTTTTCACACCTGATGATGACTGTTTGCGTTACAGTCGAAACGTCGTGAGAATTTTATTGTTTTATATATATAATTTTATTGTTTCCCTTCAACGTGACTTTACCGAAAGAACCAAGAATATGAATCACTGCAGTCACGAAAGCTTTAAATAAAAAAATAAGTCAACCCTTTGCCTCTCCGCTGCTAGATGGAGCATACAATGATAGGTTTTGTCCGATACTCTGGAAAGTTCTAGATTTGAAGCTTTCGTGACTGCAAGGATTCATAGTCTTTGGTTTTTTCGGTAAAGTCACGTAGGTAAAATAAAAATAAATTAAATCGCGACGTTTCGGAGGAAAGCTACCCATACAGATGCTTACTTGAAACCGTATTCCCACCACCATCCATCCCATAAGAACTCCCTCATCAAGACTCTATACCATAGAGCCCAATGCATTTCCGACCAGGAACACATTACCAGTGAACTCAAGCACGTACACCAGGCTCTCAGGGCTAATGGCTACTCCGACTACACAATCCGCAAAGCCATCACTCCAGTCATGAAGAAGGATCCTCTTGTGGAGCCACTCAAAACCATCACCTTACCCTACATTGCAGGGGTCACTAAAAAGATCTCCAAAATCCTGAATAAACACAAGATCCAGGTCCGATTCAACACAGTACATAAAATCCGTGATTTAGTCCCATCTGTAAAAGATGCTGTTCCAGACATACAGTACTCGGGCGATTACAAACTAAAGTGCCTCTGTGGTAGTAGCTACATTGGAGAAACCAAAAGACATATCTCGGACCGCATCCGCGAACATAAAGCAGACTTGAAACACGGTAGGACGAACTCCTCTGCCGTGGCAGATCACTGTTATAATTCAGTGGGCTCACATGACATTGACTTCTCCAAGACGGAGGATCTTTGCAAACCAACCGGCTACCATGAGAGATTCGTTCATGAGGTCATTCACATATACAAGCACAGAGACAATTTCAACCGAGAAGATGGATTTTGGCTTAGTAACCACTGGAAAGATGTTTTAAATCATTTCTGTTCTTAATTAATTGTATTTTTACGATGACCTTCAGACCGCAGCTCTTTCGCCAGCATTGCCTCTTAATACCTCTCACACCACGGTTAATGGTATGGTTTTACAACATGGAGTATACTAGGGCCTCGCAGCTGTCTCTCTCCCCCTCCTCTGTTCCGACCATGGACGAACTCGTCCGTCTGAACGGGGCCCGTAGCTATCCGTGGTGCTAAAGTTGAGGGTAAGAATCCACCCATTTTTTCGCCATATAGCATTGTGATATATAACGACTTATTGTTGGTAGCTTAGCTGATTGGAGAATATAGAGTTTATTGATAACATTAAGGTAATTTATATTTTAGTTTTTTATTGGTTCACTATATAGTACTGTGAATAGCTCAGATGTGTAGGCCTTGACTTCAACATAGTCATTTCTGTGACCAGTCACTAGCTAATCACTCAGTTATTTCAATGCTAAATTCGCCTAGTTATTTCAATGCTAAATTCTCCTGTTTGACTTGTACTAAGTGCATCGGTGAATGTGTATGGTCTGACTTTAACGTAGCTATTTCTGTGAGCAGTTACAAGCTAATCACTCAGCTATTTCAATGCTAAATTCTATGCTAATTCCATTGTCAAGGGGTGCCTCTGCGGATGTGTATGCTTTAACTTTTAACATAACTATTTCTGTGACCAGTCACAAGCTAATCATTCAGCCATTTCAATGCTAAATTTTATGCTAATTCCTTTGTCAAGGCGCTTTGTTCCTCTCACACAGCTTAAAAGCCGTGATCTGAACGTGGCTCTCTCACTCCAGCGCTGTCCTACCAGACAGTCTCGCTCCCTTCACCTGATGAAGGCCGCTTGTGTTGTGGCCGAAACGTCGTGATAATATTATTGTGTTATTTTATTTTATCAATTTATTATTTTATTCTCATTCTACGTGACTTTACCGAAAGAACCAAAGAAGACTCTGAAAAGTATTGGCCAGTGCTCATTACTGTTGTTGGCCTTGTACCAGGTGGGAAAATTCTACATTGCCATGGCAGGGTTTACTCTCGCTATGGTAGAACTGTTGACTTCCTCCATAATACAGGTGTTTTTGGTTAGATTGCTGTTGTATATGCTGAGTATGAAAATTTGATGAAAATAAAAAAAAAATAATGGAATTTGAAAATACACGTAAATACACGAAATTATGTTAATTGGTGTAATTATGCACATAAATTATGCTATTTTAAGATATTATCGTATTAATTTATGCAAATGTATGCGATTATGCTATACCGTACCCTTGTAGTTATGATTCCGTACGTGACTCAAGGTATGTTGTAATAGTGTTTCCATCGTCGTGTTTGATTTTTATTTTTAAAAGATGCCCTCTGCCTGCGTATGCAAATTCTTATCACGTGCTGCTGGAAGACAAAGGCGGCCGGGAGGCTCTCTTTCTCTCTGAAATACATTTATCTTGGTCACGTGATCGACCTACCTCGCCTCATCTCTTCTGGCTGGCCCTCGGTTTAACACTGCATCATTATTATTTTGGTTTATGTTTCCCAAGATTTGTGATTTAACATTGTCATCATTAGTTGTTACCTCCGGTATTTCAAGGGTTTTATTAACTTGTGCTCCCTGTCTGCATCCAGGGATCCGTGCTTTTTATTCTCGAGGTCAGAGATATCCCGAGGTTAGAGAATTCCTTTTGGCTTAGGAATAACCCTGACTGCCAGAACTATTCTTGATGCTTTGGTCAGGTCGTGTAGAAAATTATTAAAGGTGAAAATAACATTAGTATTGAATTAATAAATGAGTAATGATTCATTGATGTAGATTGTGGCCTGGTTTTTAATTGGAGTGTGAGGATCGATAATGTTAGCTTCATCTTTGGTCGCTAAGTTTTGGAATTTTTGCCATTTGTTAGCAGAAGCATGAAAAGGGGGGGGGGGGGGGGGTGGCGTGTGTGGTTTTTTTTATTTTACTGCATGATTGACCCTTTCCGTTGGTGGGAGGGGAGGGTGTCATTATCTTTGCGAGGATGACAAGACAGCTGCTCGAAAAAGGGGGGGGGGGGGTTCCGTTTGTTTGTGCTCCCAGCGACCCCGCGAGTGATAAAAAAAATATCGACAAAATCATTATTAATATACATTTTGTAAAAAGGCTTATATATACAACATTGCGAAAATATATAAATGTTTCGTTAAAATCGCCACTACCCGACACAGCCAATTAGTAAGGTTTGTCACGTAAACGAAACATGCCAATTCGTTACAAGTGTAGTGACGTATATTGGGTCACTACGATGCTAGCGCCAGCTACTGACAGATAAGTGGAATTGCGAGTGTTAGAGCCTCTCTCTCTCAGGCAGCATTGATTAAACATTTCGAGAGATCGTATGTGTTTGCGATAGGTGATCCAGGTTTCTGCACCACATGAGAGGGTTGGAATGATCACAGCATTATACACAGCCACTTTGGTTTTGGTTATGATGTCGTGGTCTTCAAAGACCCTGCTCTTCAGTTTGCCGAAGGCAGCACTAGCTCGGGCAATCCGATTTTAGATTTCATAATCCATGAAGACATTGCTAGAGAGATGGATGCCTAAGTATGGGAAACTGGGAACGTTTTCTTGTATTTCATTGTTGGTAATGATTGCAGGGGATGGTAGATGTCCTCCCGGAGCTTGTAGGAAAGGGATCTTTGTTTTCCTGGGTATTCATTGTTAGACCCATCCTGCTGTAAGCATCTGTAAATGTGTTGACGATGACCTGAGGGTCAGCTTGTGAGCAGATACTGACTTGGGCATCATCGGCACATCAGGAATTCAACAACGGATGTGATTGATGTTTTCGACTTGGCTCTGCAACGGTTCATGTTGAATTAATTCCCGTCTGTCCTATATGTGATATTTATGCCTCTGGGAAGTCCTTTTCTCTGTCAGATGAAGCATTCCCGCCAGGAAGATGGAGAAAAGAGTTGGTTAAATAATGCAGCCTTGGCTTCACACCGGTCCTTACTTCGATCGGTTCCGAGGTTTCACCACCCGAGAGGATGACGGCCTTCGTGTCATCACGCAAAAGACGGAGGACGTTAACAAATGTTGTTGGGCAACCATATCTTAGAAGGATTCTCCGTGGTACGTCATGATTAACAGACTGGAAAGCTTTAGTAAAATCGACGAAGGCCATGTACAATGGTAGTCTCTGCTCCTGGCACTTTACCCCCTCTATTGAAAACTGAAACAGGAAGGAATTATCCACAATTCTGGCTATCGCCTGATGAGGTTAGTTGTAATTACCAGCGAAATGTCGTACTCAAATTGTAAATGTTGCGGGTTTACTCTCCAACACACCGGCCTGCTGAATTAATAACTAATTGATGTGTCAGTTTAACACGTAGACCTTCGCGACCAATATTATTAATAATAAAGGTTGTTGGGTCCGATTCCATAAGTATAAATGTGTCGTAACGCTCCACCACCCGACACAGCCAATTAGTAAGGGATTTGTTACGTAAACAAAACGCCAATTAGTTACTGCTTCAGCCCACCCGTGTGTTGGAGAGTAAATCCGCAACATTTACAATTTGAGTACGACGTTTCACTGGTTATTCTTCATTCGTATGGCATTGCGAAAAGCACGTTTTTCTTTTTGTTAATGATCGTCATAAATTAATGCAAAGGTTCCTCATCCAGTCCAGTGATGTGCTTGACAAAGTGTTGATTTCAGCGATACCACCAGGATGTGCATGGATGGAGCACTCATCGGTGATGCGCTCGATGATTTGGACTTCTCCACAATCACAGTTGGGCGATTCTTTGATCTTCCATTTACGGAA